CTTATGTACTGTAATACAGCGCATGCTTTTGTATTTCTTGCATGCGTGTGTGTGTGTGTGTGTGTGTGTGTGTGTGTGTGTGTGTGTGTGTGAATGGGTTGTTTTGGTCTCGTTGTGGAATCCAAGTGTCCCCACAATGATAGAAAAACAAGACAAAATATGACATTGGAAAGTCTGATAGTTTTTAAAAAAATATTCTACATTAACATACAAAATCTTTTATTTCGACAAATTAAGATTCAAATGATCTCCTTTGGTTATTATTAGGATTTATTTCCATTTTAGGTCGGTCAACATTTAGCTGCAATCAAATATAGCTCCATTCCTTTATGGATAACCATAAACATACACAGCTGTATGCAGAAGTTTGAGCGCCTCTGGTAAAATGATGTTTTGTTGATTTTCTGAGTAAAAATAAGCACATCCTCTACAGAGAACACACTTACGCTCTTTTAATGCACGGTTACTGTTTATTTGCTGAATTTAACATATTGAGGGGTTCGGGGGCAACAAAAAATGGCCTATGGCACATTTTATAATACATGTTTTACATGATAAACTTACATAAACAGAAATTGTGCTCTAAAATCAGCAGAAAAATGCCGTATTTAAGTTTGTTCCCTGTACAGGACTTTTGCATGCCACTGTGTATATAATACATATGGGACGTGCAGTTCCGTAAAGGTACTTATATATCGCTGCTGTCGGAACAAAACCTCGTATTTCCATTTTTATTGTTTTTCAGTTTTTGACATAATTTGAAAATACCTGTTGTCCTTTACATTGTGTGTAAATTTCATGATGAATGGACCAAAACAAACGGCCCAAAATGACTTGGAAAAATGTCTGGTTCCATTGACTTCCATTAAAAGTAAAGTACGTTTTTTCCATCTCCTATAAAGTTTCGAGGTTTTGTTCCGACAGCGATGTGTATATAATACATAATAGATTTATTGTTATCATATATAGACATTCCCCATGTCCTGATATCATGTAAAAACGACCATGTGTGTGTTTTTGTCTTCAGAGAGCACATGGCCCCGTACACCATCCCCACCGGTCTGATCGTGGTGGAGGAGATGCCCCGGAATCAGATGGGGAAGGTGAATAAGAAGGACCTGCTGCGTCAGTTCTTCCCCAGCTAACATCACCGCCGCTCTGGAATCACTGCTGCAGGAATCAGTGCTCTTGGCTTCGCTCCAGGTTCATCCTGGTCTTCAGAGGAACGCTTGATCATCAAAGATCACTGATGAAGGGAGTAATGCATCAGTTTGCAAATTAAAGCCACTTTCTAGATAAAAACCTATATTTTAACCCTTTAATGCTGGGGTGTCAAACTCAGCCACTAAAGGGGCCAAATTAAATCTGTGGGCCAGAGAAAAAAAATGTTTTTATTTCATAATATATAATATATAATTACTGTTGTGCTATAACAAAAACTGGTGATTGGTTATTCAAAATATGCAAAAACATCAGCGGTACAGTATAGACACTTATAATAGTCTTTGAAATATTATATGAATACTTGAAATATCCAAACTTTAAATGTCCTCAGGTACTCAGTCTTTTGAAACTACCTATTTACTTGAACTAGACTCCTGACATCTTTTCTTTGCTGCTAGTTCATTAAGACTTGGGCTCAGTTTCTGAGCCGCTGAGCTGACGTTGGGTGTTTATATTGGTTGAACTGCAGCTGAAATGCAGCTGGTGTGTTTGGTGATATGACTGGTGTAGAATTGAGGTGTAACCACTGTCCCATAGGTACGTGTTGGGGAGTCGGAGTGCGCATTTCCGGCGCCTGTAGTGCAGCGCATTGTAAAACGGGCTAATATTAATAGAAAATTAAAATACTTTTGTGGGCCGGACAGGATTGTGGCCCTTGGGTTTGACACGTGGACTTTAATGAATACCCTAATTTTCCTTCTCCACCTTGTCTATTTTTCACATGTGATAAAATTTCGAAATGCGACAGATTTTATTATTCTGTTATTGTCATTGTGAGTAAAATGTTTTGAGAGTTTATATATCAGTATGTGTTACATGCTGGGTTGCTAATAATCCAAGGTACTTCACAATGTTTGGAGAAACACCTGAGCATTAAAGGGTTCAAATATGATTACTTAATATAAAATCACTCTGGCAGTGCAGCCACTGTTGTGCTGGCATGCTGTGGCAGGAAATTCAGTAGTTCTGCTGGAGAAGGTGAGTATTGACTTTAGCCTGATGGTTCTGAGCGTCCCTGACCCCTGCACTGAGTTCTGTAGCTTTGCTGCTCCTTCACATGACTGAAGGTTTAAAGATTCAAATCAAAGGAAATTGAGTTTTATGATGCCGTGTTACAAATTAGGGATGAAAATACTCAAAATTGATAAAAAAAAATCACAGTATTTGTTAAAATTTATTGAAAATGTTTTAAAAGAATGAACACATATTGAATTGATTTCAGTACAGCTATATTGATAGACTTTTTATTGAACCTTCTTTTTGTATTTTTAACACCATAAATACTGCTACAGTTGATGAGTTAGGACCAGCACTACTACTGTTTACTGTTCAGATTGTTTACTGCATGCTTTGCAGGGAAGCTGTAGCAGTAGTAGAGCCTAGTCCAGGGGTCGGCAACCCAAATGTTAAGAAGAGTCATTTTGTCCTTTCAATAAAAATCAAACCACCTTGGTAGCCACAACATTTCATATCCATTTTACCATCTTGGCTGTAATTATGTCTCAGTATGTGCTGATGAATTAATATAAGCTAAAAAATATATACAAAAAACACAGACTTATTTTGCTCTGCTTTAAGCTTTAGCTCAGCTGTTGTCACTTTTCTTGCATCTCCGGCAGGAAACTTTGCCTCAAAAGTGGAACAGTTTCTTGTAAAATGTCTCCCAACATTTAATTTTTCACGAGGCTGAAGTCGCTTCTCATTCGCCAGCTTCTTGCTCGAATTTTCCCGCTCCACCTTAAATGGTGGCTGAGGCATCAGAATGGAACTGCTGCACCATTTAAGGTGGAACATGAAAATTGGAACAAGAAGCTGGCGAAATCGTTGCAGATTAAACGTATCAGGAAACCAGCTGGAGTGATTCTAAATGCACATAAATTAGTCTCCAAATTATCGGTGTTCGTCTTAAATCTTTCTCTGTGCCATTTCGTTAGCTACTAGCTAGGCGAGACCATATCTGCGTTGCTATGGTGACCAGCAGTCTGCATGCCAACCTTCAGGGTTAAAGGGTGAAAAAGCAGTTCTACATCAACTCCAGTGTTTAAGACCATTTACTGTTAAACTGTGTTGAACGATCAGCAGAACTTTATTTTACTGTAAAGGAGGATTATTTTATTTTTACCTACAAATCTGGAGCCACAACAGGACAGAAAAAGAGCTGCAGGTTGCCGACCCCTGGACTAGAGACTATTTAAAAAGACTGCAATTATTGACGTTTGAAATGGTGTGATTAGGTTTTACACTACAGTATATTATTAAAGGGCCCATGTCATACTGAAAAACTCATTTCTTTCGATTTTTTGATAAAAGAGTTTGATGTAGTCTGTAAACATTGTTTTAAGACATGCCATTCACTCCTCAGTCCTTTAAGTCCTTTCATGGTAACTACACTGCAGAAACAGCCTGTTTTGGATTCACTATTTTTTGATGTCACAGTAACAAACTCATTTACATACATCCACCTATTCAGCCTAAGACAGTTCAGCCAAAGCTGAACTTATAAGGAAAGTTTCAGCCCGGCCTGCTTATTGAAGGAGGTGCAATACAATAAGGCCAATCAGAATAGAGCTCATTTACATATAGTCAGCCTTAAAAGCACAGCAGCCTGTTTAATTTTAAGGGATAAAGCGAGGTTGGAAAATGAGCATATAAAAATCAGATGCATAAAACCAAACAAATGTTATAAAAAGGGGAAAACAAATATAATACAAGGAAAATGTAGGATATGGGCCCTTTAGAAAACAGGTACCATCCCATCCCCCTATAGCAACAGAGGTGCTAATCATTTTCTCATATAATTTTAATTTTCTAACAGCAACCACATTCACATTAGTGCATATTTTAAAGGTGAACAGAAATGTGATATGATAGTTGCCCAGCTGCACTGGCCGGTATGTGACGCAGCAGCTGCGCGGGTGACCTGATGCTCAGGTGGCTTGTTAAACAGCGCGACGCAGGTGCTGTATGAACAGTGGTGTGAAAAGATATTGTACCAGGCTTCACACTTATCAGAGGAAACCTCCACCTTCCCACAGTGTTTGCAGTGAGGGAGAACTTACTCTAGGAGGCTGAAATAGGGAGTGAAATCACAGAATGTAGATAATAGTCTCCTGTGTTTATGTGGGAAAGTATAAATAAATGTTTAATCAGAAGGATTATGATAAGTTGCACTGTAATGTTTTAGTTGAGAAATGCACAAAAAATTACTGTGAATTTTGTGGGATTGATCAACAGGTGGGCAATATGGTGTGAAATTCTTTGTAAGAAAATGATTTAAAGAATAAAAATGTTTAATTTATTAATATGTGTTAAGTAGTGTGTTTGTTTTAATGCACTATTTGAAAAGGAAAACATTATTACATGTGAGTACTCATATATTACGCAACATTAATATTACATATAAATACTACTATATACTCATATATACACACACACACACACTATATGGACAAATGGACAAAAGTATTGGGACACCTACACATTACACCCACAGGAGCTTTTATGACTCCCATTCTAAATCCATATGCATTAATATGGAGTTGGTCCCCCTTAGCAGCTCTAACAGCTTCCACTCTTCTGGGAAGCTTTCCACAAGATGTTAGAGAGTGTCTGTAGGAATTTCTGCCCATTCATCCAGAAGAGCATTTGTGAGGTCAGACACTGATGTTGGTCGAGAGGGCCTGGCTCACAATCTCCGTTCTAGTTCATCCCAAAGGTGTTTGATGTGGTTGAGGTCAGGGCTCTGTGAGGGCCAGTCCAGTTCTTCCACACCAAACTCACCCAGTCAGGCCTTTATGGAGCTGCTTTTGTGCACTGGGGCTCAGTCATGCTGGAACGGAAAAGGTTCTTCCCCAAACTGTTCATACAAAGCTGGACACATAGAATCGTCCAGAATGTCTTGGTCTGCTGAAGCATTAAGATTTCCCTTCACTGGAATTAAGGGGTCTAGACCAACCCCTGATAAACAACCCATATCATCATCCCTCCTCCACCAACTTTACAGCTGGCACAGTGCAGTCAGTGAGGTAACGTTCTCCTGGCATTCACCAAATATATGCCACTGTGTACATATATATATATATATATATACACACACACACACAGTATATATATATATATATATATTTATGGGACATGTTATGATACATAGGTATTTACATATATATAATACATACTAGACATATGTACAATCCAACTTTAAGATTTTGTGTAAAAAAAATTGTGTCTGTGTGATTTAATACTGTGTTTTAGCACAAAATACAATACTGCGTTGTGTATGTAGTATATTCAGGTTTTTGTGTTGTTCTGTGTTACATCATACAGTGTACAGCATTCCTACCTTAATAAATCACTACAGTTAGAGAGAGAGAGAGAGAGGAGTGAGAGGCAGTAATGGGCTGTGAGCCAGAGCCACTCCAGTGTGTGTGTAGAAGAGTGTCAGTTCTACCTGCACAGAAACGACACTGAAAATAAAACACAATAGTGGGTTGACAGAGTTAGTCATGCCGGAGACAGAGAGAGAGAGAAACATAGATCTCTCTCTTCTCTCTCTCTCTCCCTCCCCCTCTCCTTCATTTTCTATCATCTATTACTATCACTTTCTATCACCTCTCTCTATTGTTCTCTTTTTTCTCTTTCTCTCTCATTTCATTCTCTCTCTCACTTTGCAGTCTATCTCTCTCTCTTTCTCTTCTCCTATCTCCTTTACTTTCTCCATTTTCTCTCCCTCTGCTATCTTTTCCTCTCTCTCCCCACACTCTCACTTTTGTTCTTTCTGTTTCCTCTCTTCCTCCACTCCCCCTCTCTCTCCCTCTCCCACTCTTACTTTTTATTCTCTCTCTCTCTCTCTCTCTCTCTCTCTTTATTGTTCTGTCTTATTCTCTCTCTCCTCTCTTTCACTGTTTTCATTCTTTCACTTTCCAGTCTCTCCCTCTTTCTCTTTCCATCTCTTATATCCTTTACTTTCTCCATTCTGTCTCCTTCTGCTATCTTTTCCTGTTTCTCTCTCTCTCTGTCTCTGTGTCCCTCTCTCTCTCTCTCTCTCTCTCTCTCTCTCTCTGGTCTCTGGTCTCTGGAGAGCTGATTAAGTGAGCGGTGTTATTGATCTCAGTGCTGGCTGTGGAAGGCTGATGTTCAGGGAGGAGTGAAGTGGC